TTTTGGGTTCAATTTTATTTTTAGTGTCATTTTTAGATTTATTTCTTTTTATGAAAATTTTAAACTTTCTTGTCAAGAGTGCCAAGTCATCATCATAGTTCTCATCACTTGAATTTTCTTTCAAGTAGTCTTCATGAGTTCTTAGTGTCATATCCTTCTTGTTCTTTGGAAGGTTGTTCTCAAGCTTTTTATGAGCATTACAAGTCATCTCATAGGTCATTAATGACACAATAAGTTCTTCGAGAGGAAAATTATTCAAGTCTTTGGCCTCTTGAATAACTGTTACTTTAGGGTCCCAAATCTTTAGAAGGGATCTCAATATTTTATTAACAAGTTCAAAATTAGAAAAGCTTTTACCAGGTCCTTTTAGATTATTGATGACATCTGTAAACCAGGTGTGCATGTCTCCAATGGTCTCGCTTAGTTTCATCTAAAACAACTCATAAGTATGGACTAAAAGATTAATTTTGGACTCCTTTACTCTACTAGTACCTTCGTGGGTGATTTCGAGTGTGTGCCAAATATCAAAAGTCATTTCACAAATAGATACTCGATTGAACTCGATTTTATCTAAAGTGTAAAACAAGACATTCATAGCCTTGGCATTTAAAGCGAAAGTCTTCTTTTCCAACTCATTCAATCGTTCATTAGAAGAGAAGACTTTTGAAAGTCATTTTCTGTAATGTTCCATAAATCAAAATCCATAGAAAATAGAAAAATCCTTATTCTAGTCTTCCAATAGGTATAGTCTATCTCATTGAAATGGGTGGACATGTAATTGAGTGACCATCTTGGTTGCCGGTAAATACCAACTCTCTTGGGTTTTAAGCCAAACCGAGAGTGACCTTGCTCTGATATCAATTGTTAGGATCAAGAGCGGCACTAAGGGGGGAGGAGGGGGGGGGGGGGGGTGAATTAGTGCAGCAGAAAAAATTATCGGCTTTGTAAGAAATTCGTTCGTTGAAAACCAATCTCGGAAAGTGCTTGACTTTAGAGTAAATGAACTAGCAATTAACTTAGAAAGTAATGACAGTAATGAAAAGTAGAATAAAAATGAGCACATCGAAATTTATAGTGGTTCGGTCATTGTGACCTATATCCACTTCTAATTCCTCCTCCGTCGAGGTCACTAGCATCCACTAATGGTCTTCCTTTAATGGGCGAAGACAAACCACCCTTTTGCAGCTCTCTTCTCCTTTTCATGAGTTTATGAGACAACCTTTATAAGCCTCACACTTCTTTTGAATGATCATAATACTAGAAAGGGAGGAGGACTTTTTGCACTTTTACAATATTTTCACACCCTAAGACTTCAATATTTTGTTCACAATTTCGTGCCCTTTCATGCAGAAAAGGGTGGGGTATTTATAGGCCCCAATGGATTCAAAATTGGAGTCAAAAAGTGTCTCATCCCAGATTTCCGAAGTACTAGTGGTACCACCGCCATTATTGGATGGTACTACCGCCTACAAATTGACACTGGTTGGTACCACCATTCAGTTTGGGCGATACCACCGCTCAGTCTAGGCGGTACCATCGCCTGACAGTATTAACTACTGATGATACCACCGCCCAGACCACTTGGGAGATTGAGTCACCAGGCGGTGCCATTGCCAGTCATGACTTCAGGTGCTGAATAAGCTATTCAACCGACCCAGTTCAGCCCTATTAAGGGCCGAGTTAGCCCCTAACTGAGTTAGTGAGATTACCTTCCAATCTTAACTCAACTTAAGGTCTAACCATGATAATTAAAATATTTAAACAGTCAATCTCTATCCGGTATGTCGATTGTTCTTTTAGCGATCTTTCGATGAACTTCTCGGTGAACTTCCGACGAACTCCCAACGAACTCTCAGCGAACTCCCGACGAACTCTCGGTGAGCTCCCAATGAACTCTTGGTGAGCTTCCAGCAAACTTCCAGCACATCGTCCGAATCTTTGACATATCATCCGATCTTTGACTCTGGCCCAACATTTGCTTTATGCCTTACTACTATCATAGTTAATCCTGCACACTTATCTCAACATATAGATTAGATCAAACACTTTACCAATTGATTTCATCATCAAAATTCGAGATTCAACAAAAATAAGTCTTTTAAATGAGGATCTAGATGAAAAAAATTACATAGAATGACCTAAAGGATTTGAAGAGAAAAGAAAGAAAAGTTTAGCTCGTAAACTTAGGATATCTATAGCCCCTAGATAGTGGTATATAAAAGTTTTATAATACTATTATTTCTTTTAAATTTTAAAAAAATATTGTTGATTAGTATTTATATTTGAATGTCAATGGAAACAAATTTATTATACTAGTATGTAGATGATATTTTTGCTTGCCAAAACTGATCTTGGTTTATTGCATAAAATCAAGATATTTCTCATCAAGAATTTTAAGATAATCGATATGGATGAGAATACTTATGTTATTAACATTAAGATATTTAGGAATAGATCTCAAATATTGTTAGGACTATCTTATCTCAAATATATTCATCGAGTCTTGGAGAGATTCTGTATACAACTTATTTAGCTTATGATACACCTGTTATTATAGATAAATTTTTGTTAAGTCCGATGTCCTAAGAATAACTTAGAATAGAATAAAAAATATGTATTCTTTATAAATGTATAATTGAAAATCTATTATATGCTTACGTTTATACTAGACAAGATATTAATTTTACAATAAAAAAATACTAAGTAAATATTAGAATTACCCATAAATAGAACATTGGAAGGTTGTAAATAAAGTAATAGAATTTTTGTAAAAGATGAAGTATTATATGCTCATATACAACATATTAGATTAGCTTGAAATAATAATATTTTCAAACACTAATTCTACAAATTACCTTAATAGTAGGAAGCCTATTTTATTATTTATTTTTATATTAACTAAAAAAATAATTTTTAAGAATAGTATAATATATATTATATTATTAAAAATAAAAATTGACTTCGTGACATACTTTGAGGATACTAATTAAGATTTACGATTGTAAAAGTTTATCTCATGACTTAGTAGGGTCAAACTCAATTATCAAGTCACTAAAAATACTTTCTATCATATCATAGTAATTTTTTTCTTTAAGAATGATAAATACTCTAGTAATTTTATGCATTATAGTATAAAATACTTGATAGTTAGAAAAAAAGTCTAAAAACAACTAATGTCAATTAAGAACTTAAATTTTACTGCATTGATTGTTAATCTATTTACAAATATCTTACTATCTAAGATATCTAAAAAAATATATTCTTATGATTGAGTTTATGAGCGACCTATAAAAGATATGATGATACATATTTAAGTGGATATCATAATTGATATTTTGCTTACATAATTAAAATTATTTATTTATATTATTCTATTCATATTTATGTATGTACATATTATGGTTGGATGTGATAACATGATTGTGATAAATTACAAGAGTCATTATGAACTATATTAGGAAAGACTAATAAAGTTTTGATGTATAAAAGGGAGTATGATATTGATGACATACAATCGCTATGATTCGTATTGATACTCAAATTTAATGTATTAGTTATTATTATATGTATTTGACTTATTAACTTGTTTTATAGAATTCGTAGCCATGTGTAAAACACTTTTCAAAATTTTTAGAATCCAATCAAGTAAAATTATTTTTAAATAAAATTTTATTTTATTTATTTTATTTTTAAATTTATTTATATTTTACTAATTAATATACAAAATAGGAGAACGTTAGATTATGTTATACTATTTAATTAGATAAGATATATTATAGATCTAATTAGATTCTGAGTAAGGTTATCAACTAATACAAAAAGAGCCAGTTAAATAAGATTTCATAGGAGATATGAAAAGAACCCTCCTAATCACCTATCATAAATCTTTTGCTCTCGCTAATAAATAAATTAGATATCCTAAGAATGGTATATTATATGAGAGGAGATCTATTCTATCGCTTATGGTGTTCCTATAATAGGAAGAAAGAAAAAAGTGAATCCAATTCTTCTTATATAAGTATCATTGCTTCCTTCAGATGGAACGATGATGTATTTACAAATGAAAAGAAATATATTCGAGATATATAATCAAAATCTTTGATCTATAGTTATATGGTTTTCATTTTTATATTATTATTATTATATAATAATATAATTATATTTTTATACTTACAAACGCTCAATTACATTCAAAGCTTTTCCTAAGGGGAATAGGAATCTTCATGTTAAGAATATCCATAAGCACAAGCACCTCGGAACCTAATTCATTATGTACACCACACATTGTGAAACCTCCATCGAGTCGTTCCTTCATGTACTTTGGAGTCCAATTCAATGTGCATGTATTGCGAAGCCTCTTTGAGTTTGGACAAAACAAGGTAAATTAATTTTTCTTTTTGTAGGAAAAGCCAGGTGATATAGATCTTGGGGGAAAAAAAAAAGACTTCGAATGGGAAAGAAAAGGCAGGTGGTCATGGAGCTTAGACAAACATGACGACATTGAATGGGTAGGAAAAGTCATGAAAGATGAGTGGGAAAAGCCGGGTGATAAAAGGAGTTAGATTGATTATATGAGTGTGAAATGCCTGCCTGATATGATCTATGCTTAAGTCAGTAACTTACTAAAAATAAAAGTTTTTTGTAAAATAATTGATTTCGATTATTGTGATCTAAAATTTTTTTATAATAAATTAAATCAGAAAAAATATTCTGCAGTATAGATGATAAATTCTTTTAATATTTTTTTATATTAGACTGATGTGGCTTGCCGTGCTGATTCGAGATATGATTGGGATGAAGCGGCACTAAATGGGTAGGACATTTGCCTGTAGCGTACGTTACGTATTCACTCTTAAAGCAAGCTTTGATTCTTCTGTGCGAGTCAGCAAGGCGTTATCCTCGAAGTTCCTTACGTTTCCTTCGCTACATCTCAGCCCTACGTATATGTTACACATGCCACCAAGGTGTATTTAAACTGTCTTCTTGCACCACTACTTTCTGGTTCATCTTTGAAGACAAGTGGAGAGAGGGGAATAGTAGGGAGAGGCTGTCATGGCGACTCTTGCAGTGCCTGAAACCATTCCGTCTGCATCAGAGGACGCCGAGCAGATCTGGAAGGCATGCAAAGGTATCATCTCTCTTCTCTGGTACATGCAAAGATTTAATTGGAAGTATGATATCACTATTGTTACACATCCTCCGAATATATATATACATACATATATATATATATATATATATATATATATATATAAATATATATATATACATAAATATATATATATACATACATATATATATATAAATATATATATATACATAAATATATATATATACATACATATATATATATACATACATATATATATATACATACATATATATATATACATACATATATATATATATATATATATATGTTTGTGAGTGTATTTTTCTTAGGCTTCTTACAGTTTTTTATTTATTTATTTTTTTATTTTGTTTGGGCTCCAAAAATGGTGCCATGTAAACCCCACTCCCAGGTGTCATGGTGAGATGAGCCGGTGAAAAATAAAGTCCCCCTTTGCTTCTTTCTCCCACAAATTGCAATGCAGCATCTCACCTATCCCATCTTGCTTTATTCTTCGATTCTTTACTGCTTACTTTCTTTTCTATTATTTTTAACAAAGAATCAAATGGAATATTTTTTTATTGTTAAAAATCACCCCCTGTGAATCGAACTCTGTTGTGTTTGAAAACTAGAACATATTTGCATCAAGATGTAACCCTTCGATGGATATATATATATGGCTGTGTTCTGCATTGGTTAGGTGTAGTGGCACCCATTCTTTGATGTTGATAAGTCTTGCTTGTATTTGTAGGAAACCTATTTGCATATGAAAACAGGTCATTTTGACGTGCTGCTACTATTTAAGAATTAGCTTCGCCTTATTGCCACAGCGAAATCTAAGATTAGCATCACAAACTCGTAAGCTCTAAACAGCACATTTTAATTTGTTGTGCTAGGTTGGGGAACAGATGAGACGGCACTCATCACTATATTAGCACATAGAGATGCTACTCAAAGGAAGATAATAAGATTGGCATTCGAGGAACAGTACAAGGAGAATCTTATCATGCGACTTGAATCCGAATTATCTGGAGACCTTGAGGTACCTACATTTATCTTCTGCATCCTGCTTGCCTTAGCTTACGTATATATACCTCTTAATTTGATCACACTTCCTCCTGAAGAGAGCTGTCTACCTCTGGATATTTGACCCGGTTGAACGAGAGGCTATCATCGCTAACATCGCCGTGAAGAAGAACATCGACTACCAAGCGATCATAGAAATTGCATGCGTCAATTCCCCGAAAGAGCTGCTGGCGGTGAAGGAGGAATACCATGCTCGTTATAAACGTTCCCTGGAAGAAGATATTGCGGTCCACACTGTTGGAGACTTTAGACAGGCATGCACTTCAGAATTGTGGCATTTATATATATACATTGGCGGTGATATGTCATCTATATAATGGCTTGTATTGCAGCTTTTGGTTTCACTGGTGAGCACATACAGATACGATGGTGACGAGACCGACACAGGCGTAGTTCGTTTGGAAGCCAAAACTCTTCACGATGCTATCAAGTCACAGACCTTCAACCACAGTGAGGTCATTCGAATCCTGAGTACCAGAAGCAAGGCCCAACTTTGCGCTACCTTTAACTATTACAAAGACGAATACGGCATTCCCATTACAAAGGTGACTTACACTTAGAGTGGCATTCATACAGAACGAACTGTCTTAGGTACTGAATTGATTTGCTGATTCGTGTGCTATGACTATGACTAGGCTTTGACTTCTGAGTCTCCAAATGAATTTGCATTGGCACTACGAATGGCGATACGATGCATTGTGTCACCCCAGAAGCACTTTGCAAAGGTGAACATCCATCAAATCTACGAAAGAAGATCTCATCTTTCTCGTGCATATTCATCTCCGGCTATTTACTTGACCGGGTAATTTGAGCTGCAGGTTCTCCAGAATGCAGTCGGCAAAGCAGGTACTGATGAAGATGCACTCACTCGCGTCATCGTCATGCATGCGGAGAAGGATCTGAAGGTGATCAAAGAGATTTTCCATAAGAGAACTAATGCCACGCTCAAACATGCAGTGGGTACCGAGACATGTGGGCATTACAATAGCTTCCTCCTTGCTTTAGTAGGGAACTAAATATGTTTATTTCAGATGATGAACTCTGACATCCTTGTTTGTTTAATTGCTGCTGGTGTAGAAGCATTTCACTGTTGCACTTTTCTTTAAGGTTTGAGGTTTGATTTAAGACAATGGCATTCTATCTTATGATCTGTTTGAGTCCGTTTGTTTTCGTGTCTTAATTCTAGCAATGGCTAAATCAATTCAGTGTGATTAATCTGAACTTCAGTATATCTTTTCTGATCTAAAGTTTCATGATCATTTTGAAGATTTGAATGCACCAAATTAGCTGCGCAATTTCATGAAGAATTTATCTTCATGTTTGATGCTGGATTGCGTCAACCACTTGCTTAATCCAGCCATCGACATGTTCTTAGGATTAAGATTCTTTTGGTCTCATCAACATCGTAAAAGGAAAGAGGAGATTCAAGACGGCTGGCTAAACGAAGTAAGATAGATAGATTACACTGTTTTTTTTTTTTTTTTGAGAAAATAATTAAGAAGCTTCAATTACTCAAGAAACATACTTAAAGGGATTATGCACAGAAACCATACAAAAAGAAGAGAACCCAATGATTCTAGCAAAATCAATTACGAAATTGATAATAGGCAAAACATCTATGCGAATAAATCATTGATGAGATCTAGCTTATATGAGGGTTCCAAGAAGGGTGGTGACAAAATTGATAATATGCAACACATCCATACAAATAAAAATATTCCTCCATTGATAGGATCTAGCTCATATGAGGGTCTCAAAAAGAGCAAGGGATTCAAACATAATAGGATATGAAGCTTGGTAGAGAGACCGACCGAGAGGAATAAATTTATCTTGAACGTTGAGGAAGATATATCCCAAGCCCAGACTAATAAGATCAATGGGACAAACAAAATTATTGCATTCTAAAATGTAACCAAAAGCAACAATAATTGCAACAGATGAGATAGGAACAGGAACATTAGTCCCTTCTAAAGTAGGTTATGTATGAAAAAATATACTAATGAGCGTAAGTAGGATATATATGGTAGTATACTAATCATATCATGAAGATTTTTTAGCATGTAAATAAAGTTTAAGCTTGTAAAATTTCTCATGATTTTAGGGAGGTTAACAGATGGAGGTCTAATTGGTTTATACTAATTGATTTTGCTACTTGATTTACTGAAAGAGGTTAATCAAGTCACTCCACGATCGTTCTCGTAAGAGAGATAATACCGATCGAATCTTGGGATAAAAATCTCGATCAACAATTCAGCATATAAGGATGAGATTTTGTCTTAAGACAATGATTACATAGCTTCAAGTGTTTTTTCTAAATTTTATTCTTATATTTCATTATTATAATATTTTATTAGTTTTTTAATAAAAAATCTAAATACTCTACATTTTACCCCCATAATTTAGGGTGAAACCTTGATGGATCTTGATTAAGGAATTAATAAATAAATTTAAATAAATTATTTTTTTATTTAAATTATGAAATCTTATTCTTGTATCATGATGCCATATTCGTATGTAGTTAGTTATGTGATATGGTAGTTCCTGTTGCATAGATTATTTCTCGCCTATTACTCTTTAAAAATTAATCGTTATTTCATATTGTCTCTTTGAAGGACGCATCAATGTTTTGATTTCTGTTGGCAAAGTTACTGGTTTTCTTGTAAAAGCCTCGAAGATTATTGAGTTTTTGTTTTCCTAGGATATATCGTGAATCATTTTCGCATTACGTAAATATCGAGTGTTCATTGACCTACAAAATCCTAGTCTTATAAGAGTATCAAAAGCTAGTGACAGATTCAGGCATTCTGGATACTTTGGATCAACAGATAAATGATCGGTTGGTGTATTTTCTGTTGGTCCGGTCCATATGTTCGCTTAGACAAAATAATTGAAAGTTTTGAGCTAAAATTAATAATTAAAAAAAAAAGAAGAGGAGACGTGAGGGCAGCGAACGAACGTGCGTACAACGAGCAGTGTGCGCCTGCTGTCAAAATAAAAAAAAGGAAAATAGGTTTTTGAGTTTTCCAACGATCAGTGGTCAAACGTTGTTAGTTTTAACCCAAATTTTTACAATAAGCTTTATAATATTAATAGTGTTGATCTATAGTTTACCCTCTTTAATGTACTTTCCTATTATACCTATTTTGTAAGATCTAAAATTTTTTTTTCATGAAATCCATCTTTGGTGATGACGATACGTTAATGTTGAGCCAAGATCTATATTCTTGATGTTATTGTGATCCTTTGGTTATTCTAGAGAAGATGTATTGTAAACTTGTTATCATTATTAGTGATAGTGGAAGTTTAAGGTAGACTACGGTCCCGTAGTTTTTTCCACATTTGATTTTTTACGTTAAAATTTAGTCTCACTATGTGATTGATTTATTACTTTTATGCTGTTCTGGTTAATTTGTGCTTTTGATAATAAGTTGGTATTTTGATGAGGAATCTATTTTGATATACAAAGAGAGAAAGAGTTATTTCGTTATAACAAGTTTTTTCAAATAAGTGGTATTAGAGCAACAGGTTGTTTGGTGTTAGCTTTTTTCTTATGTAATTGAAATGGAAGAGTCATATGATTAAATTAAACTAATCAAATTATTTCACTTGGAGGTGTATGATGGAAGATCTACTTTATTGCAAAGATTTGTATAAGCCCATCAAGATTAAAGATAAACCTTCTACTACAAACGATAAAGAATGAAAAGTTCAACATAGAAAAGCTATTGTCTATATTAGAAGATAGATGGATATAAATTTGCATAAGCATATTTCTGATGAAACCAAAACTGATATTGTTTGGCAAATGTTAGAAAACCTTTTTGCGAAAAAAACAGTGGAAAATAGAATTTCTCTTCTCAAAAGGCTTGTAAATTTGAATTATAAAGATGGTGGTAATATTGTTGAGCATATAAGTCTATTTCATAGTCTTGCAAACAAGTTGGTTGCTATGAAAATGAATATATATGATGAGATGCAAGGATTATTACTTCTCAGCTCTTTACCAAAAAGTTGGGAAACATATGTGATAACAATTTGTAACTCCACACCAGAGGGGACTCTAACTATACATATGGTTAAAGATAGTTTACAAAATAAAGATGCCAGAATGAAATAATAGGGTGAATTTTCTTCTAGTGCATTTGTTACTAAAAAACAAGAAAGACGTGGAAGAAGTCATAGTAGAAATCCACATGGTTATAAAGGAAGATCCAAGTCTAGAAGAGATATCAAATATTTCCATTATAACAAGCCAAGTCACATGAAAGAGTATAGGTTTTGAAAGCGAGAACAGAATGAATGGAAGAAAAATGAGAAAGACCAATATAGTTGCTGCTGAAGGTGATATCATTATTGTTTGTGATAACGATTGTGTTAGTCTTGTAGCTCAGGACAGTAATTGGGTAATTGACTCTGGTGCTTCATTTCATATTACTTCTCATGTTGATTTCTTCATATCTTACACTACTAGTGATTTTGATAATGTCAGAATGGGAAACACTAGTACATCGAAGATTGTGGGTATTAGAGATATTTGCTTGGAGACCAGTATTGAGAGCAAATTGATACTCAAAGATGTCAGACATGTTTCAGATATTCGTCTTAACTTGGTATCTACAAGAAAACTTGATGATGAGGGATTTACACACTATTTTGGTGAAAGCAAATGGAAACTCACTAAATATTCTCTAATTGTAATAAGAGGAAAGAAGCTTAACTCTTTTTATATCATGGAAGCTAAGTTACATAAAGGAGAGATTAATGCAATTCAGAAGGATGAAAGTATAGATCTTTGGCACAAGAGGCTTGGTTATATCAGCGAGAATGGACTTCAAACTCTTGCTAGAAAGTAGTTCTTACCAGAGTTGCAAGGTACATCTCTTAAATCTTGTGATCATTACTTAGTTGGAAAAATACATAGAGTTATATTTCATATATATCCGTCATCTAGAAGATCAGATGTTATTGATTTAGTTCATACTGATATTTGTACTATGTAAACTAGAACTCTTGAGGTGCTCTTTATTTTGTTATTTTTATTGATGATCATTCTAGAAAAGTTTAGGATTTTGCTTTGAAATCTAAAGACCAGGTATTCAATGTTTTCAAAGAGTTTCATGTTAATGTTGAAAGAGAAATTGGTAGAAAGCTAAAGTGTATTCGAGTAGATAATTGTGACAAGTACAAGGGTCCTTTTGAGAATTATTGCAGGTTTCATAGTATCAAGCTTAAGAAAACAGTTCCTAAAACTCCTCAGCAGAAAGGTGTGACAGAATGGATGAACAGAACCATTAAAGAAAGGAATATGTGTATACTTTTCCACGCTAAGTTACCTAAGTCAGTTTGGGGAGAGGCTATGAGAACTACAATTGACCTTATAAATCTTTCTCCATCAATTCCTCTGAAAGGTGATGTTCCAAAGAGAGTATGAAAATGAAAAGATATATCTTATAATCATTTGAGAGTCTTTGGGTGAAAGTATTTATTTATATTCCCAAAGATGAAAGGTCCAAGCTTGATAATAAGATATATCTTCTTGGGATAATAAGATGAAGAGTTTAGGTATGAGATCTAGTGAACAAGAAGATTATTAGAAGAAGAGATGTTGTGTTTTTTGAAGGCCAATTATTTAATGATGGTGATAATATTGAGAAGTCAAAAACTTCTATTTATATACCTTGGAGTTCGAGTCCAGTTCCTTCATTTATAGTTCATGATGATCATGGGGGAGATGAACAAGAAGATTGTGATGAGAATGTCAATGATGATACTCCTACAGTTGATGATATTGAATCAACTGAATAAGCACCTCTACCACTAGTTGAGATTCCATTGAGAAGATCCATAAGAGAGCGACAATTATCTACTATATATCCTCCACATGAGTATGTTATGCCTATTGATGGGGGAGAGCCAGAAACTGACCAAGAAATTATTCGAACCACACCTATGACTTGATAAAGTTACCTAAAAAGATAAAGCTCTCAAGAATAAATGGTTTTACAAATTGAAAATTGAAAATAATAGATCACAATAAAGATACAAGGCACGACTAGTTATAAAAGGATTCAGTCAGAAGAAAGGTATTGACTTAGAAGAAATAT